TGAGGGACAAAATGTTTATATTCTGAAATTTGCCATACCAAGGAGGCAAAATGACATTCCTCACTTAAGGTCCAAGAAGTGCAAGATGCGATATTTATTGCTTAGTTCCTTTATTTTTATACCACTGCCCCAGGAACGTGACAAAAAAATAGATGTAAAATTGGGGGTGCAATTCATATCTTTAAAGTGGAAGGAAAAGTGGTGAAAGTGATGGCGTCGTGCCGCGACATTAAATCAAGTGCTTGTTGGGAGGCAACCCAGCCTGTATATCTTTTATTTTTTTTTATTTTTTTTAGTGTCGAGTTTTGTGTTATTTTTATTCTGCAGAGTAGGGGAAGTCTGAGTACCCAAAGTTGAAGCTGAGGAGCATGTTTGAGCTTAAGTGTGGGGACGTCCCGACTCTAAAGATTGAGGATCATGTCCGAGCTAGGTCCGAGAGGGCCTCATGGAATATTTCTCACCCTTGTGTTAATAATTTTCTCTGTGATCATGCATCGAGGACTATGCATAATATACTTGTGAGGTGGGGAAAGTACTTTCTGAAGTGTAATTGTATAAAACTATACTTCTCAAGTGTAATTGTATAAAACTATTTTTTTATTTAGTTTTTTTCTTTTGGAACATGTAATAGACATAGTCTAGGTAAAAAAAATGAAAAATTGAAAAACAAATTAGAAAAAGTTCGAACTTTTCCCGACTGTGGATATTTTGGACAATTTTCTTGAGGGATAAAAGTCCGAATAAGAACACGAAAAAGATTTTTTTTAGGATGGTTAGGTAGTATACCTTGGTTTTTCTTTGGGTGCCGGTTCTTTTCCAAGGGTGTAGCTCGAACCGGGTACTTTATTTTTTTTTTAGGAGTAGTTTAGGAAGAAACTGAGTCGCTCCGAGATACTCATTGACATGGTTTATGTTGGCACATTAGGCTATGACATACATTCTGTTTTTCCGTATATTTGGTTTGAATTGTGAAGCCTAAGTAATGTAAATGGCCTATTTTGTGACGCCTTTTCTCAGATGGTTGACTCGTATGCCATATAGTGTAATATTGCTTCATTTTCTCAATTATGTGTGCTTGCTTGACTTGGGAGTTGAACAAAACCGTTGTGATTGAGTCATGTGCAACGTGTGTGTGAGGATTTGTGATCTTCTGTGCTATTCTGTGTAGTCTGGAACTTGCCCCGTGTGTTAATTGAAGCGAAATTGTAAGTTGTGCTAATCTAGGAGATGACATAGGCATTTTCTTGCTTGGTCATAGATGTGCTTGTTACATAAAAAGAAAATTTTCCGTTGCTAACCCCTTTGAGCCTATAGACCTTTTCTTTGGCAACCACATTACAAGTCATACCCTTATTTTATTCTTAATTTGATATTGATTGAACCTTTACCTCCTAAGGCACTTAGTCGCTAAAAGAAGTAAGGTGAGATATTGGGGAGTAGTTTTTGAGTGGAACCATGGAAAGGCCTGTGGGTGCACTAAAAGTTGAAATCTAAAGTCACTAGCCGATGAATTTTAATGTATGGAGTGTGTGAAAAAAAAAAGGAAAGAAAGAAAAAGTGAAAGAAAAAAAAATGATAGTTAAAGTATGTAAAAAAGTACACACCTCCAATTCTTAATAATATGTGCTAGTGGAAGTATAGAAGTGCTTAATGAAAGTAAAGGCTATGTGCATATGGTTTGTGGCAAGTGAGTTGGTTGAGAAAAATATGTGCTTGAATTGTGAATGTAGTGTATTAAAGTGCTTAAGAGGGTTAGTCACTATTTCTAAATATATCATATCCGTCCCTTAGCCTACATTACAACCTTAAAGTCCTAATTGATCCTAGATTTGGCAAGATTAAATTAGTAGAGATATGCACTACGGGCAAGCTTATGGTACGACCACGGGATGCATATGAATTCTTTGTGAGAGTGAGCGAATTTTTGTTCAATTGTGTGATGTCCTTAATCTATATTCAAAAGCATATTTGAATGAGTGGACTAGTATATATTCACGCTTTCATTTGTTGGTAAGGGCACATGATCTCGTGAATGATTGGTGATGTTGTAAACTTTCTTGTTGGGTGAGTGCATGAGTTGAGGGTGCTTAGTGTGGTTACAAATCAGCTTTTGAGGTTGAGTGGTGACAAATAGGTTGTTGGAATTGATTGAAATGAAATATTATACTTAGGCATTGCTTAACCGGGAAGAATGTGAAATTTTGTATATTCATATGCTTGTGTGTTGGTGTTGATCATAGTCAAGGCTATAGTGTGTGGTTAAAAGTTAAAGTGTTTCTCTATAATTGAGACGTGTACGCAGTTGGGATTTATTTGATAGTCCCATTGCTCGAGGACGAGCAAAAATCTAAGTGTGGGGTGTCGTAACCGGCCCTTGTATTTTCAAGTGGAATAACTGAATATGCTTTTCGGATTTAGTGGGAATTTAAATCCCATATTTCTATTAATTCCAAAGGAACTTTGCTAGATTTTAAGTTCTTACATATTCTTTCCATTTTAGATGATACAACAAAAACGAATATAGTAATATTACCCTACAAAAACTGAAATGAGATTGATGCAAAATATTTGCTTCTCTATATTTCTACGTGGGTAACGCGGTATCGTTGACCTTCTTTTTATTTAAAAAGATATATACAGGCACCTTAATTAAGCAAAAAAAGAAAAAGAAAAATCAAGGTTTTCTTGTTGAAAGCATATATTATATCATATACAATTAATAATTTGTTTTCGTTGCAATTGCATGTTTTTTTTTTTTTCGTTTGGTGCAATTTCAACTACCTGTGCAAGCGCAACGAAAACATGTTTCTATTACCTTATTTTCGAAATGTTGCATTATCTAGAAAATAGTATTCTTCAAAGTAAGCGACGGCCTGTGGTGGGCACGAGGAGAGGTAAAGGGCGACGTAAGAAGTATTGGGGAGATGTGATCAGACAGGACATGACGCGACTTAGAATTACTGAGGACATGACCCATGACAGGGAATTGTGGAGGTCGAACATTAAGGTTGTAGGTTAGTGAGAAGTTGTGAATATTTCTACGGCGCACCAGAATGAGACTAGCCAGTTAGGAGTTAGTTTTAGGATGCTAGTGGTCATTTCAGATACAGGGCTTTATCTGCTGGTTATTATTATACTTTCCATCTATTTCGTATTTCTTATATTGCTGTTATTTTATTATGCATGAATCTATTGATGGTACTAATATATCATCTCTTATTGATTTCTTGAGTCGAGGGTCTCCTGGAAACAACCTCTTTGCCCCTCGGGGTAGGGATAAGGTCTGCGTACATATTACCCTCCCCAAACCCTACTTGTGGGATTATACTGAATCGTTGTTGTTGTAGTTGTTCAAGGTAAAGGAATTTTTTTTATGTTTTTTTTTTATATCCATGCAATCTTTTTGAAAAAGTCATACAACATATTATAATATATTAACGTTAAATGTAAATGTTATAACTTATAATATGAATTAAAAATTGAAGTGTTGACACTCATGTTTAAATCATCTTATCTTCTTAGAGAAACTTATTGGGCAAGAGAAGAGGGCGTGGGTGAGGAGGAGACAATTGAATAACCCCATATAAAAATAAAAAGAAGTGAAAATTATAATTTAAAGTAACTTTGCAGACTTGGTTGTTTATTCTCATGGTAATCAAAATCATATGAAAAAATATAATAAGAGAGGAAAATAGTAGTAGGAGATACTCAGTAATCGACAATTTTGTCTGAATTGTCTTGAAAAAGCTAGGAAATTTAATTTGAAGAAAACCAAAATACTACTCCCTCCGATCCAAAATAAGTAATTTTTTGGTCTTTTTCTTGTGGTTCAAAATAAGTGATTTTGCAGATTTCAAGAATGAATTAATTATTATTTTTCTATATTATCTTTGGAGTAAATAATGTTGGAATATGTGTTAGGAGTATTTATGTGAGATAGTAAAGGTTAATATGGTCAATTTCATTGTTAATTAATGTTAAAAGGTGGATTTCTTAATATGTGTTAAAACATCCAAAAAATCACTTATTTTGGACCGGAAGGAGTAATTAAAATCAATGATCCTCATTAGACATTGAATTCAAAATTCACCAAGTATACATAAAGTCAGCGTCGTTGAAAAATACATATAATTTGGTCAAAATAATTTGTATATGACATGAGTAAATAAATTCAAAATAAAATAAATTCCTAAAAGAAGATATATATACGCCAGAGGAAATGATATACATCAGCAATATACATATGTTTTCCTCTACAATCGTTTCAACCAATATATAGATTTTATGCCCAATCATTGATAGAACGTGCTATCACTCAAATTAAACATTGCAATATTATCTAGAAAAATAATATTATTCAAGCTAAAGCAATTCTTTTTTTGTCCATGCGATCTTTTTGAAAAAGTCATAAAACATATTATAATACGTTAACATTAAATGTAAATTTTATAATATGAATTAAAATTTGAAGTGTTAACACTCATGTTTGAATCATCTTATCTTAAATCCTTGGTAGGGAGCGCTTCCCCGCGAATGGGGCCCTACATGGTACGAATCCGGATATAGTCGGGCTCCAATACAGGTACTAGACACCGGATGAAAAACCAAAAAAAAAAAATCTATCTTATCTTCTTAAGAAAACTTATTGGGCAAGAGACGCGAGGGGGTGGATGGGGAGGACACAATTGAATAACCCCATAAAACTAAAAAGTAAAACGGCAGCGGTGTACGAATTATCCCTCATTTACGTAGAATTTGAAGAAAGACCGCACTCCAAGGGGTGTGACGTAGGCAGCCTACCCTGATAAAAGTATCAGTTGTTGATTCCATGATTCGAAACCGTAACTTATAGAATACACAGAGATAACTTTACCGTTGTTCCAACGCTCAAACCAAAAATTATTTTTAAAAAAATTAATACAATAAAATATCTAGTCTTTGTTCTTTGTATAAAATATGAATATAAAAGACGTCTTCCAATTTTCATTTTAGACATAACGAGCTTTCCTCTTTCCTTCTTCTCTCTTTCTAAGAAAATTAGCCACACCACACCACACCTCAAGAAAATTATATCACCGATTATTACCATCAACAATATTCTTATTAATTAGTAGCAGTAGCACAACTTGTTCTTATCAAAATATAGAGGGAAGAACAAAAGAAACCTGAAGAAAAAATGGGAAATTGCTGGCCTAAACCTGTAGATAATCTTCCTAGCTCTAACAAATTTACTAGCCCACCTTCAGGTCGGATTCAGAATTTAAACTTTTTAGATTCAATCTTTAGCTTCTTATTGATTATACTTTTGAAATCATCCGTTCAAAATCTAATATTTGCAGAAATTTTATTATGCTTCGTGTCAAAAACACGAATTCAGTTGAATCCGTCACTTATATGCTACGTGCGTCTCTACTATGTACCAATTAATTTGTTACTGTGACAGTGATCAAGAAACATACGGCTACTCCGGCAAGTAATACCAAAAGGGCGGTGGTGGCGCAGCCTAGTGGAGATGGCGGTGATCAATCGGAGAAAGAGGAATTACCACTGCCGGCGAGTGGGAAAATTATTACTCCAAACTTGAAAATGTTTACCCTAGCAGAATTGAAGAGCGCAACGAAGAATTTTAGACCAGATACAGTATTAGGAGAAGGAGGATTTGGAACTGTATTTAAAGGATGGATTGATGATAAAACATTTGCTCCTTCTAAAGTTGGAGTTGGAATTCCAGTTGCTGTTAAAAAATCAAATCCTGATAGTGAACAAGGTCTCAAGGAATGGCAGGTTTGTTGTTTTTTTTCCTTGCTTTAATTTCCTATGCATTTGGTTATATTCGAAATTTATTGGTCCGACTAATGCAAAATCAACTGAGCAGCTCGTTAAACGGGTCTGTACCAGGAGATTAATTCCCGACGAATTATTTGCACTTTAAATCCTATAAATTTTGCCTTTAAAACTAGTCGGATAAGTTTATGTTATGTAACCCTTCGGGACGCGCGACCTGTTGGTTTGGAGGGCGGTCATTCATACAGATTACTCGGGATCGATCCCCCTTCAATGCCTTCTGGATCGAGCTTGTCGTACAACGCTTGCCTAGTGCGATTTACATTTCTTGTGTGATTTGCAAGCTATTACACAGTGGAGCGTTTATCCAGTGCTCACCCGAAGGGCAAAAATTGTGACAGAGGTTGTAGCGGCCACGATTTTTGCTTTGAAATTGTTATTATTATTATTATTATTATTATTATTATTATTATTATTATTATTATTATATGTGCCCTTTGAAATTGATTTTTTTTGACATGATGAACTCGGATAGTCTTCTGTTATACTTTTTAACTTTCTTCACAATTTTAAAATGTGGTTTTTTCTTCTCATAGCTAATATTTGACCAGTCTCTTCTATGAGAAAAGGAAAAAAAAAATCAGTCAAAATCTAGCTGACTAAAATGTGAAGATAATATCGTTGACTCTTTCAAAGTATCCACGTGGTTTCATTACTATCAATTAATTTATGGAAAATATAATAATCAAATTTAAGTCAGGAAAAAGAAATGTCACACCTCACATACAAAAATCAAAATTAGGAAATATTAAAATAATAAAACTGTCCCTTTTTTCTTTGTTCTTTGTTTTCTATTCATTACTCCAGCCTTCGTCGATTGCTCAACGGTGCAAAAGTTGGAATAATGAATTAGTCCAATAAAATTGCTAAACGAGTGTAGTCAAAAATTTTTTTATAATAACCTCGTTTTTTTAAAAAAAAAATTAGCTGTTGTAGCGAAGTATTGTTATAAATAAAATATATTATACTTAATAATAAAATTTGACCGTTATAGTAAATTATTGTTATAAACAAGTTTGATTGTAGTACATTTTGTCTATTACAGGTTTGTTGTCTATGGACAATTAATTATTTATTATATGGATTGCAGGCTGAAGTAAAGTTTTTGGGAAAATTTAGTCATCCGAATCTTGTAAAATTAATCGGATATTGCTGGGAAGAAAAAGAGTTTCTGCTTGTATATGAACACATGCTGAAAGGAAGTTTAGAAAGTCATCTTTTCAGAAGTAAGCACCTTTTTATTATTATTATTATTATTTGTTGAAAAAAAAAAGAGGATGTATTCATACCAGCACTAACGCACCGGAAACATCAAAACTCCGAAGTTAAGTGTGCTTGGGCGAGAGTAGTACTAGGATGGGTGACCCCCTAGGAAGTCCTCGTGTTGCATCCTTCTTTTGTCTTTTGGTTTTCTTGAGCCGAGGGTCTTTCGGAAACAGCCTCTCTACTCCTTCGGGATAGGGGTAAGGTCTGCGTACACACTATCCTCCCCCGACCCCACTAGTGGGATTTTACTGGATCCCTCTTTTGTCTTTTGGTTTTCTTGAGCCGAGGGTCTTTCGGAAACAGCCTCTCTACTCCTTCGGGATAGGGGTAAGGTCTGCGTACACACTATCCTCCCCCGACCCCACTAGTGGGATTTTACTGGATCCCTCTTTTGTCTTTTGGTTTTCTTGAGCCGAGGGTCTTTCGGAAACAACCTCTCTACTCCTTCGGGATAGGGGTAAGGTCTGCGTACACACTATCCTCCCCCGACCCCACTAGTGGGATTTTACTGGATCCCTCTTTTGTCTTTTGGTTTTCTTGAGCCGAGGGTCTTTCGGAAACAACCTCTCTACTCCTTCGGGATAGGGGTAAGGTCTGCGTACACACTATCCTCCCCCGACCCCACTAGTGGGATTTTACTGGATCGTCGTTGTTGTTGTTGTTGTTGAAAAAAAATTATTACAAAATGTAATATAACACTATTTTTGTATATTAGAAGAATGTGCAGAAGCATTGTCATGGGATACAAGGCTAAAAATAGCAATAGGAGCAGCTAAAGGTCTTGCTTTTTTACACACAACAGAGAAGCAAGTTATTTACCGTGATTTTAAAGCTTCAAATATTTTACTGGACTCGGTAATTTTCTTTTTTAGGAAAACTTCTTTTAATTAATTACATTTTTTTTTTTTACAATTACTGATAAATATTTGTTTCAAATATTGTTGGGACAGGATTACAATGCTAAGCTTTCTGATTTTGGACTGGCTAAAATGGGTCCGGTAAATGGTGACTCACATGTGACCACTAGAGTCGTTGGCACTTATGGCTATGCTGCCCCCGAGTACATGGCCACAGGTAAATTTTTTAATAACTATAGTGTTCGAGTCAGATATTTTATGCCCTCGTATGCTAGCCAGTTTTTAGACTGGTCATTCAAAAATAGTCAGCGTTTGCAAAGTTATTGAAAAATAACCATTATTTTGCTGCAACACGGAAAGTTTCAGCATAATATACTGGAGATCGGTGCACCTGTGTATGAACTTCCAGCATATTATACTGGAACTCCAACACGTGGAAAGTTTCAGTATATTATATTGGAGTATTTTTTTTGAATTTTGTACAGTTTTTTCTTTCAGATTTATCTTTACATGAAAAGTGGCTAAATTTTGATTACTTTTGAAACTATGGCTTTTTTTGAATAACCACTTGTAAATCTGGCTATTTTTTAATTTCTCTGTATTTTTCCCCTCCTAATTCCATTGACACTTATAATATATAATTTCTAAAACTTTAAAGTACACAAATAGTGAATGAACCAACAAATTGTTTTTATATTTATTTATTTTTTGTGAAAATTGACTTATTTAGAGATAAACTGATAAATCATGCCAGCTAACTCTTTTTGGTCCCAACAAAACAATTACTAGAAAAGTTTGACATTAACTTATATGCCTTAAGATGAAAACAATATACAGATATTCATTACGAATAATAGTATATCACCATCAATAAAAGGGTCAGTGGATAGTGAAAGTTTTATTACTTAAAAGAAATTTATTCCTTTGATTTAAATAACAACAAACTAATAGCTTTGACTTCTTAAAATCAAAATTCTTCCCCAAAAATTTTCTATGTTCCCATTAGAAGTTTGACCTGGCCCTNTATATATAAACAAATATGATTTATTAATAATGGCCGGCCAAAGTTGGTATATTAGTTTGAACCATTTTTTGGTTTTAAATTCCTTATTTTATTTTTAAAAAAAATATTGATTCTTATGCTTTTTTAATTCTTTTTTGGGAAAGTCTTGATACCTGTATCTTTATACAAATAGTCGATCGAATTTACTACTCACTTTCCCTAGCACGTATACACTGATTATACATAAATTATACATATATTATGCATTCGTCAATTATTCTTAGTTTAAGCAGTTGGATGGTCGACTGTTTAGGTTACATCTTCATTCCTTCCTTCTTATATGTAGAAATGATACTAGGTAGCCACGTTACAAGGCTGCTATTTAGGAATTAGCTAATGCATTCTGAATTTTAGTTTTTAAGTTCAATTTTTTAGGACAAAAATGTCATGAATTGTCCTAAAGTTAAGATTTTTAGTTTAAAATTTCAGAACAAAATAAATACTGGCTAATATCTAAATAGCATCCCTAAAAATGGGAGAAATTCAAAAATAGTCAGATTTACGATGGTCATTCAAAAATAGCCACAGTTTCAAAGGTAATCGAAATTTAGTCACTTTTCATGTAAAGATAAATCGAGACGAAAACACTGTTCAGAATCCGAAAAAATACATAATCTTGCATAATATAATGGAGTTCCAACATAAGTATACTTGGAACTCCTCCATATTATAATGGAGATCCAGCATAAGTATACTGGAACTTCCAGTATATCCAGCATATTATATTGGAAGTTCATACACATGTGCTCCAATCTCCAGTATATTGTGCTAGAACTTTCCGCGTGTTGGAGTTCCAGCATAATATGCTGGAAGTTCATACACAGGTGCACCGATCTCCAGTATATTATGCTGGACCGATCCCTGTTACAACAAAATAGTGGCTATATTTCAATAACTTTGTAAACGCTTGCTATTTTTGAATGACTAGTCCGAAAACTAGCTAGTCCGTACTATATTAACCCTAAAAATGGCCCTTCTTGTTCGGCTATAACTTACGGAACCTTATTTTGGACAGGTCATTTGTACGTGAGGAGTGACGTGTATGGGTTTGGAGTTGTGTTGCTAGAAATACTAACGGGCCGTAGAGTACTGGATCTAAACAGGCCCAATGGGGAGACTAATTTAGTAGAATGGGCCAAACCAATGTTACCTGACAAAAAGAAGCTAAGGAAAATAATGGACCCAAGATTGGAGGGACAATACCCATCAAAAGCTGCATATCAAATAGCAGAAATTATACTACAATGTCTTGAGCCTGATCCTAAAACTAGGCCTTCCATGGAAGAAATTTTGGAGTGTTTAGAACAATGTAACGCGATCAAGATGAAACCGAGAGAAAAAAATGCCACTCGTGCCCACGATCAACGATCAGGAAATCATCGTAATCACAACAACTACGGGCATCGATCACCTCTCCATGTTAAAAAAACAGGTAGCGGTAATGTAATTGGAAACCAAGGCCGCCATGCTGCCATCAATCGAAGCTACTGAAGCTTGAACGGGTCGTAGGGTCATTTTCTTCGATTCAAATTATCGCTAACTAATTATGTTGTACAATTCCCTTGTTCTGAAGGTGGACGATACGAAAGAAATTGATATGTGGGCCTGTACACACTATAGGCCCAATCCAAAACCAATGGAGGCCCAATTTATCAGCCCATTTAAATGGGCCCCTGAGACCTGTTGGTACTTTGAATTGGTCTTACATAATCATGAAAAAGCTGGCATATGTCTGTATCAGACTGAATGATAGTCAACATCAAGAAAAGAATGGACTTCCACTTATCACTGTAATTGTTACCCTTTTTTTCCTTTTTGTAACTTCTTTTTTGTACTGACTAGATATGATTGTATTGCTTTTGTCTGTATATTTTTAAATTTTTGGATTCATTTTGTAGGGTGATCATTCTTCATCTATCATATTCTTAAGGTCAACATTGATTTGCCTTTTGTTACTTTCTTGTCCATATCCCCTTTGGTCACTCTTTCTCCTCCCAAGAAACTAGAAGTTGGAATAACCATTAATTTTTAGTTATAAAGATCGAATATTAATTTGGACATTATCATTTTTAACTCGCGTCATAAATTATTTATATTCGGTAGTCAAAAAGTGTATAAAATTTGTATAATATTTGTATATATATATATACAAAATATATACAAAAAGTATACATTTTGTCGGCTATTATTTTGTGAGCGGTTATACAATGTCGTTTTCCCATATTAATTCTTATAGCATTATGTCCAACTCTGCCTTACATAAACTAAGTCGTTTGGCCATAAAACAAATTTCACTTTCTTTCAAAATCAATGTTTGGCCATCAAATTTTCAATTTTCACGTGAAGATAAATTTCAAAAAAATTCGGAATTTTGAAAATTTCCAAAAAGCTATTTTTGCAAAATTTTCATTTCAAATCACTCATAAAAATTCAAAAAGAACCCAAAATTATATTATGTCCCAAACACAACTTTAATTTTCACCTATCATTTTCACTCACTTTGTTTTAGAATTTTACAATTCTTATGTCCAAACGCCCACTAAAAGCCAAAGAGATTGTGACATTAATTCTTGCACTATTTGTTTAGTTGCGGCAATAAATCCAACTCACTAACACATTCAATTTCTAGATAGACTCAATTTATATAAATGCATTGTACATATTCGTTAGTTCACTTCTAAAACTTTCCTACACTTCAAGAGGCAATGAAACATCCAAGGGAAAATGTAAATAGATATTAGGAAGTTGGATTTCTTGTCTCTATAAAAGTAAATAAAGAATAGTGTTAAATCAGAGTTATGTTATTTGGGTGGGAAAGAAGCATTTCACTTTCAAAAAGTAACATGCCTCCTATTTTTATACCCTTAAATACTATATATTTTGTTTTTGTTACTGTAAAACCTAGAAGTTTTAGTTTTATACAAGCTACAAGTTTTTATTATTCGCGTGAAATGTATTTTTCTTGATCCAAGGGTTTATCGACTATTGGTTCGACTATTGGTAGTGACGTACAGTGGCGAATCTAGAAATTTTCCCAAGAGTATTGATATTTGAAATAAGTGAAAAAAATTCCGGACAAGAGTGTTCAATGTGTGTTATATACCTCTAAATCGTAATATTTTATCTATATATGTTGTGCAATTTTCGATGAAGGATGGTTAGTTGACCGCCCCTGTGACCATGTGGCTTGGCCACTAGTGACATAGCCACATACATTGAAGGGTGGTCAACCGAACACTATTAATAAAAAAATTTATTGTGTATGTAGAAACTTATAGTGTATATAGGTCAAAAATTATTATATATGCGTATATTAAATTTTGAACACCTTTCGTGTAATTCTTGGCTTTGTCATTGACTATTGGAAACACTCTTTCTACCTCGCAAAAGGTAGGGGTAAGGTTTGTGTATACCTTCCCCTTCACAGACTCCACTCATGAGATCACAGTGAATATGTTGTTTATTTTTTATTTAATATTAAAATAGTAATAATATTTATTTCTTGTCTAAACTGAGTTGTGTAACTTAACATAAAGCATGATAAACACTGTGTGTTTTGTATGGATCAAAATCGAACTAGAGAAATTTGATACACGGAGATGATTGTCATGAGTTGCCTGCAAATCAATATGGGCAGTTTGGCAGAGGTCGATTAGTGGTCAACAGAACAAACCGCTGAATGGTTCATCAGGGCCGAGGTCGAGCAACATAGATAGGAGTAACGGCTAGTATAGCTTTGGAATCATCAAAGGGAATATTCTATTGAATATTCTCTTTATTTTACCTTTTAGGGTTCTTTGGAAATATCTTATATAAATAGTATGAGAGATAATGAAAAAGACATGTAAGATTCCATATGATAAGAACAGTTTTGAAAAGTAAGCTCTCTAGATAAATACAAAGAACAACTTTCTGGAAAGATTCGATCCTTGTAGATTATCTATTGTCATTTCTATCAGATCTGAGAAAGTACGCTCAATATTCTCTCATATTCTTGTCATTCATCATTGTCAGAAAGAAGAATCTTTCATCCCGTTCAATATTTGGTAAATCTTCCTCCTTATTTACATTTATTGTTATTTAATATTTGATACTTCATGCACACTATTTCAAACTTGTATCAGTGTTGGGGTCAGACTTGCTTGGGAATTACTCAAAAGGATTACAATGATTTTAATTGCAGTAAGAAATGATTAGAGAGTGGCAATTTTATCATTTATCAACGACGGTCTTTTCAACAGTCAATTAAGCAAGGCAGGCCTCTAATTATTCCAACAAAACACACATGCTTTCCCATACAGCACGTCTCTAGGGAAACCCTACCCAAATATAATTATACATGTAATATCATTTTTATAAAAGCGTGTTATTCTTTTATAAACGGATTATAAAAATAATAAATTAAAACGGAGGGAACAGTAATTGCCTAAACTATTCCTAACATGTCCGTTAGGAATTACTATTCCTAACGGAGGGAATAGCCCTTAAGTTGGACGTGATCAATAACTTATAACTTCCACCAAAAAAAAAAATCTTGACTTATAAGGGCGTTTAGTATTTAAAAAACGCATAAATAAGTGGGAACACTCGAACATCATGCATGTGATATTGACATGAATATTTTAATAAATATTCTTTAAATATTACATTTTTAATGAATTTTTACACGTAAATATATGTTTGCTCCGCGAAAATAATGAGTTCATATAAATCTGGTGGCCATACTCTACATCCGCCTCGTGTACATGTTGAGTAATTTTATAGTACCTTTCTATTTCGAACATGCATATGTTGCATTCAAATATAGATATCATCTTATGTTTAACCGAGATGCCGCCGGAAGTATAATTATGAAGATAATGACATGATGAATATTTTAATAAACATTCTCTAATTTAAAAGTGAAAGAATATATAATTATCACTTTTCAAATCCCAAAGCTTAAGGTCTACTAATTACAGAAACATGCGTCTAAGTGTGTACTGTTCTTAAACTAATTAAAAATTTAAATTTGACCCCAAATATTTTTTAAAAATAAAAAAGGAACTGCATGCTTAATCATTGAAGTATTAAGCCCATATATGTAAAGTTTTCTTTCTTATATTACTGTGTAAATCTCTAGGGATTAATAAACATTAATGCCCATGATGCTTAAACATGATCAAAAGCACGAAATTCCCTCTTTAACATGCAATTCGATCTTGTCATCATTAAGAGACGAAAGTGAATAGAGAAAGCGATTATAATTTATATTCACATTTTAATTTACAACCTAGCAACCTAAAGAATAATGGCAGTCCGCGGTACGAAACATCTCGCATTTACGTAGGGCTCGGGGTAGAGGTGTATCCAGAATTTAAACTCTAAGGGTTTAACTTTTAAACCCATTACATTTTTAAATTTATGGGTTCATATCTACTATTTTTGTAATTTTAATGAATTTTCACATATAAATTTTTACTCCACGTCGAAAGTTATAAGTTCAATTGAACCTGTCATCAACACTCTATATCCGCCCCTGCTTGGGGAAGGACCCACGCACCTCATTGGATGTGATTAGGGGTGGGCATCGGTCAGTTCGGTTATGAATATTATTGTTTTAGCATATTGGTTATCGGTTTACAAATTTGATAAACCGATAAGATATCGGTTATCAGTTATCGATCATTATCGATTTACCCGATAAGATAACTCAATCTAGAGTTAAGTAAAAAAGAGAAGACAATTCATTGGAGTTAAGCAAAAAAGAGAAGAATTCACGTATAATATACTACCCATTTCTGCGTTCTGTCCAGTGACCACAACTGGAGTAGTACTAATTCTTCAACAACTGTTGTCCAAATATATTAATAATAATACAAAATAGTAGCAGTTTCACCTTAAAATTAACAAGTTCAAACATATAGTACTAATAGTCCAAGATGAACTAGATGTTATTTATCAAATACCTAACCTAAAAAAAGAAACCATAGAGCAAAACCTTGATCTGTACATAGACAATACTAACACAGAAATAAAAAACACCTAGAAGGCAAGAAAATATTGTCCTGTTGTCAAAGCTCAGCGTACTGTACAGAAGAATAATGTTAAAAAATATACCCAAAACTGACGAAGATTGTCGATTGAGAATTGATAAGTGCGAAGAGAAATTGGTAGTTGTTATAGGTTGCACAACATGAGCTCACAAAATTAAGAAACGAAAAAAAATAAATAAAGAATCATTAACAGTCAAAAATATGAGTATGAAGATGAATTTTGTTATAGAAATTAAAAACCTAATGTATAAGACTAAAGACTTACGCTAGAAGTAACTAGTAAAGTCTACGAAGAATGAAGATGAAGCAAGTGAATAGTGCAGCTCAGAAAGAATAGGAGAGAATGAACTGAAGCCCTAACATATGTATATACTTAAGGGTAAAGTCATAATTTTATTAATTCTTATTGGGTTATCGGCTAACCCAATAACAAAATTGGCAACCCGAGGCCCGAAGCGATAACCTAATAGTGAAAAAATTCTAAATCGCTATCGAACCGTTAACCCAATAACCCGATACTGATAACCCAATAAACAATTAATGATTCGAATTATCGGTTTTACCCGATATATGTCCAGCCCTAGATATGATGTAGGTAGTCTACCTTGATGCAAGTAATTGGTGACTGATTCTACAACTCGAAACCGTGATTTATAAATCACACGGAGACAAAGAAACAATCTCGTATTTGCTCATGACCCCTAACAAAGCTCTAACTTAAGAATACTTTTAAAACCATGGTTAAAAGTAGGTGTAAATTTAAACTTCTTTCTCAAAATATTTTGACACATGAAATTTATTCATTTCGAGTTTCTAACAGCAATATTAAGTATGAACTCAAGAATAAATTTGGACCTTTTTTTCCATTGTTAAAAAGAGCACAGGACTGATCTCTGTCTCTCTCTT